ATTAACAAAAACATCCATGTTGTAGAACACCCTCTAAGGGGGGTGTTCACCATTGTGGATGGTTTTGTTTTCTAAAAACAAAAGCAATTGTCACATCAGAAAAACTGTATTGTTTTTTATGGCACGGCAATTGTTTTTTGTTTTAGAAAATAAAATCGTGAACATTGACAAGCACCCCTTAAGTTCGGTTTATTTCCTCTTCTTATGACAAATGAAATCATAGCATGAACTGGGAGAGAAGAACTTTGGAGTCAATAATGACATTTCAAATTTGAATGTTAAGTAACTTCACAATTTTGATCACATCTCCTTCCACCACAATATGAGTTAAGTCCATATTCTTAGTTAGACTTGTTCATGGGCCGGTTTCGGGCTTGGCTTTTGTCAAAATTTAAATGGGGCCTGACCTAAAGCCCAAATCCAACATAGTGTAAAGTCAGGTCTAAAACCCAGCCCGTAAACATGTCTCTTAACCCATGAAATACCTTCAATCACTTCATCAAAAGCTAAAGCACCTGCTTCAATAGGGAAGCAAGGCAAAATTTCCTTGCATCATTCCATGAATACAGTTCCTCCTAAAAATGCGTATTATCTCATTAATCATATCATAATTTCTTGCACTATTTTCATCAATGAATACATTCCTTGATAATTAAAATTGGTTTTTTCTGTCACATGATCTCATTATGGAATGAGACAACATTGGTGATATCCATCTTACTTCTTGAAATTGATTTAATATCAAAAGTAATAGGTTCCATATATCCAAGGTTGTTGAACCCCGACCAAAAGTAAATGGTCAGACCACTCACTATCATGTTAATAAAAGAGATATCACACCAGTGAGTTTGATCAGAATCGTTAAAAACCAAAGAATTTTGAGATGGCACAAAGAAGATAGGAAGTTTGGATAAGTAATTCTTCCTTTCTATCTTTAATATTTTTGCATTCAATGTAGCCAACCAAAAAAAAACAAACAGCAAAAATTGAAGAGCTTGCAAACCAGGTTCTTCTGGCATGGTCACAGAGCACAAGGGCGTGAACCACAGTTTCAGGCTCGTTTTTACACAAAGAGCACAAACCATTTGGAACCAGACCTCTTCTGAACAAGTTCGAATTAACTGCTACAGCTTTAAGAGAGCACTTCCACAAAAAATTCTTAACTTTTTTTTTCAACAGGGAGCTTCCAGGGGACCTTGGCCAGGATGAGAGAGAGAGAGAGAGAGACTCAACTTTAAGCAAATCTTCAAATTGGATAACTTAATTGTATTCCTATAGGCAAATTAGAGGTGTAATTCGGGATGCACTTTGAATACGCATGGATACAATGAAAAAATTAGGACGCATGCACATGAATACACCCTCCAATAAATCCCTAAAAAATGCATCAATTACACTAAATCCAATTCTTAGATAATTATAAATGATGTATATACATATAAGAAATAAATACTTTAATAATTGCTCTTATTAATATTTATAAAAATATAAATTTTAATAATCATTTTTTTTAGATTTTTTAGTAAATATGCACTAATAAGAGAATGACTGAATGTTAAAATTTAGGGCCATTTATTAGAACAGCCCCAATAGTTTCACAGATCTACTTAAACCTAGTAACCTACCCTATAGTTTTTATTTTCTAGGAGTGTTTTAGTAAATCACAAACTATAGGGTAGGTTTTAATAAGTTCATGAAACTATAGGGGTGTTTTAATAAATGACCTAAATTTTAAAATAGATAAATTATGACAACTAAGTAGATGTGGGCCATGTGGCCTACCAATGGATGTGTTGTCTTGCAAGTTGCAACCTATTGACATAGGTTCAAGTTTCTTATTTGTAGCCTTTTTATTAGCTGTGTCAAGTTAATGAGGATAAGCGAGGAAATTAATTAAGAGAGTTAATTAATTAGGTAAGATGTCTTATCTGCATGCTAATGAATAGGAGTTAATGAAGTAAATAGGGAAATTAATAATTGGCCTGAGTTGATTATTTAGAAAAAGATGTCCTAAATTAATTAGGAAAGATAATGATTTGAATTTGAATTATAATTGAAATTAGTGAAGGTATATATAAAAATTAAGGGTAAAATATAAAAACCTCCCCTGAAGTTTCTGACAATCATAAAAACCTCCCCTATAGTTTTATTTTAATAAAAACCTCCCTTAAATTTTTAAAGATCTTGACAAAAACCTCCTTTTCGTCAGTGATTTAGTGCCTTTTGGGTTGCTCCCTACAATTGGGGAAATCCTTCCCCCAATTCCCTTCTATTGCGAGAGGAAGTGGAAGAAGGGGCAATTCCAACATTTTGAAATATTTAATTGACTCCCTACAATTAATCAGGGGCAATTTCATAATATTATCAGCCTTTTGTCTCAATCACTGATGGAAGGGTGGTTTTTGTCAAGATCTTTAAATGTTTAGGGGAAGTTTTTGCTAAAGTAAAACTACAAGGAAGGTTTTCATGATTGTCAGAAACTTTAGGGGAAGTTTTTGTACTTTACCCAAAAATTAATGAGAGTTATTTAGGAGAGATTTCTATGATTTTTTTAATTTTATTTGTGCTTCAAATATTTGGGGCCGTGCTACCCCCTCTTGTGTAGGTGTAGCACCTCATATTCCATCAAAATAAAAGCAAAAAAATTTGAGTACACGAGATTGTGTAAATAGTGTTGGAATTTGTAAATCTCCCTGAGCAAAAGCAAGCCATTGTTGTGGTAGTAGCTACCACAGCAGCTGCAGAGGTGGCCATGGCATCTGCCCAAGCAGCTGTGGAAGTTGTTCGACTCACTAGGCCTTTTAATCTCGTTAGCATCATGCTGCTATTGTCGTTCAAACAGTTTTTTTCAAAGGACTAGTATTTGTACATGTGTTTTGTATGTGTCAATTTTTTATGATGATAATGATGATGATGATGATGATATATAGTAAGTACTATGTTTTTAAAATTTTTTACATATTTTTATATTTCTACATCTATAAAAATTATTCTTATTTGTCATACTTATTTTTATTTAATATGACGAATATACAACAATTATTCTTATTTTTTATATTTCTATTGAATTTTTTTATGATGATGATAGTAAATAGTATGTTTCCAAAATTTTCTACATTGTTTTTATATTTCTATGTCTATAAAAATTATTCTTATTTGTTACATTTATTTTTTATGTTTCTATGACAATTATTCTTTTCAAATATGGTTAATTAATATAGGATTCAATGAAAGAATAGAAGTTAATACCTTAAATATAAGACTTAATGAGAGAGAATCGAATGAAGAAAAATGTAGTAGTTCAAATTACATTTTGTGTCCTCACAACTAGAGAGTGAAAGAATTCAAGAATAAGGGTATTTTAATCAATAATAAGATTTAATAAATGTTAATGAGAGTTAATACCTTAAATATAAGAATTAATGAGAGGGATTTAGATGAAGAGAAAAGTAGTTGCTTAAATTACATTTCTATCCTTACAATTAGAGAGGAACCAAATTCAAAAATTAGGGTAGTTTAGTCAAACAAAAGTTCCACACTCTCATTCACACTAGTATAATATAATATAATAATTATAAATATCTGATAATGAATGGTAAGGAATAGAAATAAAAGAAAAAGATTTTGGTATTGGAGGTTAAGATCAAATGAGATTTGTTGATTGATTATGTGATTGTTGTGAAGGCAAGGAGATCCCGTAGAGTGCCTAAAGGACTGGTGAAATTGCAAGCTTTAGAGAAGGACTGCATTGTAACTAACTAGATCTAAACTCACTTCCATACGGGAAATGCCACATCCAACAATCATGAATTGCACCAAATTTATAGTCATTTGAAAGCATAACAGAGAACTTGGCAGCCTATGACCTCAATGTAGAAGATGAATTGTTTCCCGAATGGGTACTCTAGGAAGCCTAATAAGGAGGGAAGTCACAGAACTGCTTGGAGATGAAGCATTAATTATGGAATTATGGCAATTCCACATTTCCATTCCCACCCATTTGTGTGTATCCGTGACACTAAATTTCAATACATGTTAGTTGATGAGCTTATTGATATTTTAAACTATGGTCAGGAAAATTTTAACAATCCAAATGAGCTTTCTTTAGGGTAAATTTTTAAAACTAGAGGTGTAACATGGGCTGTGCTCACTTTTGTTGAGATCGGATTTTTTTTTTCAGTGTGCCTCACACCAACCTTACAGTGCATCACAATTGTGCATTGAGAACATCTCCTGTATTTGATGCTATTCTTTAGGCTCGGTTTGGAAGGAGTACAAATATAAATATATATAGTACAAATACATGTAAAATACAAGGTTGACTGTGATGTGCTGTGAGGGTGTAAGGCGGGTGCTGTGAAGAGCAAATCCGAATTCGTTTTTGTTGGCCACCCTTTCTGTAGCGAGACATGCCATGCTCCATAAAATAACACAATTGATCACCATTCATTTAACCAGAGTTAGGATCAAGTGGGCATAAATATGTATAGTACAAATACATGTGAGCAAATCCGAATTCGTTTTTGTTGGCCACCCTTTCTGTAGCGAGACATGCCATGCTCCATAAAATAACACAATTGATCACCATTCATTTAACCAGAGTCAGGATCAAGTGGGCGCTGAGGCAGAAATTCACTGACAAGGCGGGCTTTTAATGGTTAAAGAGATGAGATAGAAGCAACACAGCCGTTGTAAAGCTTTGGCCAGGCCAGTTTTGTTTGGATTATTGGTGATTGGTGACCTAGGTCGGAGCCTCGGAAGTAAATTGCCAAAATCTAACCAAATAAGTCGGTTGGTTTGGTTCTATTATAGACTGACATCATTGACCAAAATCTATTGAACCAGCCAACGGTTCCCTGCAAGGCTGCAACCCAACCAGTCATAATTGAACCAGGAAATTATTAGGTAGGTAACAAGTTTCCCTTGATGAACCATGTCAGTGAACCGGATTGGACAATTCCATCTGCCACTTAAGTCTGAAACTGCATAAAATGATAAAATAGAAACAAATCCCATGCAAACATCATATTCATGCATTATGGTCGGTAAACCCGTTGAATGCAGTTTATGGTTGGAAATTTCAAACAGGAAGAAGAAATCATATCATATAGACAAGTCTTCATGAGTGCAAGCATATATGACCAATAAAATCAACCACCCTACAATCCCCTTTGTATTCCTCCTCTAAAAGAATTGATTACTTTCAGAGAAAGTTAATCAAAACCTGTGAATACAGATCATCACAAGCAAGGGTTATTAACAGAAGTGCAGGCAACCCATGCAGCCTGATCTGCAAAACACATATATCAAGGCAGGCTAGGAGAGAGAGAAGGTTTTGCCACCTTCAGCTCTCCACAGTCACTGATATAAACCGTCTTCAGTGGCCTATTCCATATTGCACGGGCATTCTGAGCCCTTTCATCTCCCAGCAACTCAGCAAAATCATTTAACTGGCGGATCCTTTCTGATGGTTTGTAGATAGGGACGGCAGCTATGGCAGTAATGACATCTAGTCCTGAAAACAAATTGAACCAACAGCTGACTAATGTTACTATTTGTCAATAAAACAACATACAGAGAAATGACATTATCAATACAAATACCATTATTTTGGGGAAAGAAAAAAAATGGCTACTATTGACCACCTTGTAACTCTTCAAAAAGATTGGGTAGGGATGAGTGGCAGTCTGATAATCACAGACAGACAGACTGTAAGTACAATGTTGAGAAAGTGTGCATATCGACAGGCCATTGATAACTGCCAACATAAAATGGATCCACCAAGGAAATCTTCAAGAGCCATCAACACAACAAACAAGTGATCAAAACCATCCAATCGACAACCAGCTTTCATTTTCTCTTTCAGCCCCTGTTGCTAGCTGTTTCTGAACTAGACAAACAAATCAAAATAAAGCAAACAGCTAGCCTCATGGGTCATGCTAGCACCTGCCAGCATGCCATACATCAATGTTTGTAAGCAGTCTTGTTTCTAATACCAGACACCGGCTAGACTTTCCCAGTGGAATTGGCATGATCCCATCACAACTAACCAACTATTACTATTGGTGATTGTGAGGAAGGACAAAAGAAGAAAAAATAAAAAGGAATAAGGCCACCAGCAAATCACGAACCAGTATGGTGAATTGGCTGACCTCAGGATGCCTAGGAATCATACTATCAACTCAACGACTCATCACAATTTCATTGTAAAATATAAATTATCTTTAGGTGAAGTTATATTTCATTTTCTAGTAAACTTTTTCTTTATTTATCTTCAAAAAAATATTTTATTTTCTATAATTTATTTTGGCTTTCATAATCACAAGTTGCAAGTCCAAACACACAAAAACAAAATCTACTAGTTTACAAATACTAAAAGTTGGATGTTTATAAAAATTAAATTATTATTAATATAATTGAGTTTTTCTTTTTAGAAATTCGCATTTGACTAGTTGAGTGTTTTCTTTCTTTTGAATATATGTGAAACTTGTAATGAAAATGAATGTAAAACTTCATTAATCAATCGGGATCAGGTTGTATATGGTTTACACATTCAATGCCAAAAATGAATAAACAAAGTCAATTATTTTAACTTTTGAATTTTCACTCTCAGGAGTCAGGATTTCTAGTGGAAGCTTTAAGGAAGGATCATGCCATCATGGAGCTTTGAAAGTACTATGATGAGAGGGATCCTTTCCAGAGCTAATGATACCCAGATACCTGTACATGCCTAGCATACCACGTTAGACATGATACTTGCTGGATATACATAACACCAAATACTGCATGGACACTTCTAGATGTAATCTATAGCATTAATACTTTGAAAATATGTAAAATGCATGCTTTAAGTTTTAACAAATTAAATTGTAAGAAAATTGTACATGTTATAAATTTAATTAAATTTGGCAAGGCATTAGTCTTGAAAAGTGACATTTAGCTCTAAAAACCGGATACAAAAGCATAATAGAAGCATATTACATGTGATACTTGCACCCATATTCCTGTCCAGAGTTATAGGAAATGGAGAGCCACATTCCCGTTTCCTGTATCTATGTCCCAATGTGTGCATATCTGGACATCATGGATCCAGAGTGTGTAAGGAAAACCTATGGGATGTTTTAATGTTCATTGATACTCATTTGTTAATTGTTAACAATAAAATATGAGAGACATAACCAACTAAAGTGAAGCCAGCAAATTAAAGGTATCACTGGGGTCAATTAATTTAGAGAACTTATACTTGTATATGGTCAAAATAATGCCCATGTTTGTAAATGAAGTATCAAGTTCTAATTTCTAAAGATCAGGCTGGCTGGTTTTGAGTCAAATTTATGATAGAGGATGTTAAATTAGAAGATGCAGTATGGGCTCCTTGTGGCTAAGTAATTGCCAGGGGTTTAGGGTTTATGTGAGGGATCAGGGTCTTAATTGGGCCTCTAGGTTATCTATGTTGTGGCCATAGTATGCAATTGATTGTTTCCCTAATAACCCCTTCTAATATCTCAATTTGGACATGCACAACTGTTTCCGGATCAGTGCAGTATCCAAAATGAGATGATAAAATGGGTTATTAGGAAAATAGCTTTGGAAGGTTAGGCAAGTATTCTAAGTTACGAAAAGAGTCACAACCACTTGGGATTGGAAATACAAAACACCTAACATCACACTGACTGCCTAAAGTAATGCAACTGGGAGAAAGACAAACAATATTAAAAGTTTCGCATGCTTGAAAAAATGAATGTCTGGAGCATTTGGCTATGCTCGACATCTGTAACAAGTATATATAATTTCCTTTCTTCACTGAAGGAGGGATCCAATGAAATAAGGGCTCTGCCCCTTCTCTAAGATTTACTTATTCTATGGTAATTATGAAACGTGCATGTTCTTATATGCCAAGTTATTTATTTGTTTGTTTATTTTTTAAAAGTTGTGCCTCACCTTGCATCTTGCACCTCAGGCATTTGGAAGCCCTTGCTCTTTTGTTGCACCTCTCACTTTTAAAACACTGCCTCCTACAAATCTACAGTTTGATCCCATTAAGATTGCACCTAAGCTGAGAAGCCCATCTAGTCAGTGGAATAACCACTTAGGCGACCATTATCCTGTCCTTTTCCTCTCCCGAATTCCCACTTTAGATGGCCACCTCAAGAAACTTCAGGACAGTCCATTGTCTGAGCAATTTGGTTATTTCACCAAATGCAACTGGATGCAACGACAACTCTTCATTAGGAAGAATTCAATTGCTAATGCTGAGCCTTTACTTTTAGCAGATAGTGCTAACCCAATTCAGATCAAGAAACTTGTCAAAAGATCAAAATTGAGAGATTTACTATAGAAACAACAATAACTCTAGTTTGACTTCAACAGAACCCTGGCTAGAAACTAGATAAGATGGCCCAGAAATTGTCTGTTCAACTTAAGAAGTAGAACATAAGCTAAAATCCATATAGATCATAAATTGCTCGGTATAATAGTAAAACCTCAGGCTAACAAGTGTGAGAACGTCAATTCAAGTCTGAGAGTGGCCATTTTGTGCACAAAAATGCCAAACTTTTGGTTTGTACCCACTCCACCCCTCTCAAGACCTCAGATAACTGGAACCAACATGAGTAATGGCCTTTTTTATTTGAGTGATAATAATAATGTTGTGGCTTAATAATTCATTATAAAAAAAGTGGTAGAGAGAAGGTAAAATATGACTATATTAACATGAAAAACAACATGTAGAATAAGATGATGTGCACATGCACTATACAAAATCTGCCCACCTAGCAATTATATCTCCAATCCTGCATTACAAAAAGATTGTCATGTACAAGAAAGGAATTATAACCTATAATCTTAAAAGTGGTAACTTAATAGTTAATTTGTATTTGCTTCAGAACAGGATATTACTAGACCATCCATTGTTGAAAGACTAGGACTGGACCAGATGGTTCAACCGGTGACTGGTATCCAGTGACCTTTCCAGGTCCTGATTAAATGACGGATTTCACAGGTGACCCAGTGAGCAATCTGGTTTTATGTCCAGTCCAAGTCCTATACATTGAAATCAACAACAGAAACTAGAGTTGCAACAAATCCAGTGACCTTTCCAGGTCCCGATAATGATGGATTTCACAGGTGACCCAGTGAGCATTCTGGTTTTATGTCCAGTCCAAGTCTTATATATTGAAATCAACAATAGAAACTAGAGTTGCAACAAATAACTGGGAAGTGATTGGTAGATGCTTAGCCATTAAATCCTGGCTGTTGATGACAACTCTCTCAAGGAAGAATTTTTGGCTCTTTTAGAAGAACTAAAATCAGCATTTCCATCAGGATGGAAGAATATAATAATAGAAGGGGACCCCATCCATCGGTTAGCCTTAAGGAAGAAATTCCTTGAATTCTTAGATCCTTAGTGAAGCAATTAAGATAGAATCTTTTTTTATCAGTAATTAAGATAGAATTTTGTGGTTATTGTTGTATGTCTCTTTAAGTTGTTTTTAGCTTGAATTGTAGTTGTTGCCTTAGCACCTTTAAAATGGTTGTAATCAGTTTTCTTTTTCCTTTTAATTAATATTTTTTTTTTTTACTATCAAAAAAATAAAACAAAATCTTCTATGGAATAAGATTTCCGTCAGCATTTGCTATTATTTGTCTCCTTCATTCTGGTTGTGTTCAGCTTTGTATTGCTGTTTGTCTCTTTCGTTTTGGTTTTGGAATGTAGGGAGTTCTTAGTCATAACTAAAAAGTACGGATTACTGTTGCTGATAAAAAAGGGGAAAACAAACTGAAGGCTAGTGCACCACACACAAGATGGTCAATATCAAATCTCCAAAATCAAATAGCCCAAGCTTCAAAACAGGACAAAGTATATGAACCATAAGCTTACAGAGTACAGAACTACAGATAAAAAAGCCGAAGAATCCCCTGTTCAAACCAATTTTGATAGAATAAACTTGATGACAGGGAAAGTATAATCTTTGGTCTCAAAATGGAATGGGTCAATTGACTATGCTGTTGAGCTAAAATCCTATACACGGCTTACATATCAAAAAAAAAAAAAAAAAATCCTATACATGGATTAGCTTGATGATGAATTAATTCAAAACAGCACTCCTAGATAGGAAAAATAATAACAGAAGATAGCTCAGCAACTCTAAGCAAATGCACTTCAAACAAAACTAACCTTCGAGCACCGCTCCGAATACGATGTTTCTATTATCAAGCTGCGGAGACGGCCCCGGTCCCGTTGTGATCAGAAACTCAACATTCCTATAGTTGGGGTTAAGCTTGATCTCCTCATCGTCGTCATTTTCAGACAAACACAACGAGAGAACACCGGGTCTCGAGTGGCCGAGAAGGAAAGACTTAGAATCCACAGTCTCCGTATTCCTGACTAGACCAGACGGTGGCCTCACCTCTCCCTTGTCCCTCCGCCCCTGCCGACCGGCCATGAGAAACTGCCCCGGGAAGATTTTCTGAACCAATGTACCTTTATAAGACGAACCGGAGGAGCCAGTGCACATGGCTTTGAAGTTGGAGACGGTTAAAGGGACAAGCTTGCCGTAGAGGCCGAACACGACGCGGCCCAAAGGCTCCGCTTCTTGGCAAGCGGCGAACTCGTCTCCAAGGGTGCGATCAGAGCGGAAATAGTTCGGACAGACGCTGAAGTCCATGTAGACCCGGTCTGTAATGGTGGTGTCAGGGACCGGGGGTGGAGGCGGTGGTGGGACGGTTTCATTTTCGTCGACGGCAAGGGCTAGGGTAGAGGGGAGGGAGAGAGAGGTCGAGAGAAAGATGGCGGAGCGGCGGTTGAAGTTGACTCTAGGATTAGGTTTCGGGCTTCTCGCTGCTGCCCAGATTTGTGGCGGACGGTGGAGGCGGAGGCGGAGGAGGGGCATAGAAGTGGATGTCGAGCAGCCCATGGGACTGGAGATTTGGATTTCACCATGTTCGTTAGTTTGACGAGAGAGAGAGAGAGAGGATACGTGGGACTGATTTCGCTACCACTCAGTAGAGGCAAGTGGGACCTACTAGTTGATCTGATCAAATGAAACCATGGATTACGATAATATATTTAGCTCTTTTGCCTTAGAATTATTTGTTCTCACGAGTAGAGTAGAGTAAATAATGCCGAGCCCGTTGCAGCACAAACAGAATCTGCACTATAAGAGTTTTGTAGGGACTTAGTCTGGATGGGAAGGGATGGTCCAAGTTGTGGGGTAATAGGTATTGGATGGCGAGGCTCTTCTGGAGTTGAGCAGGACTCAGCACCTGCGTCTCATTTATTTTTACATGAGGCGAAATATTATTAAGAATTGGGTTGTGTATCTCATCTTTTCCTCCTTTACACAAACAAATGGGATAACTAAACGAGTCACCCAGTTCACTGTGCATGAACAGATGTGAATATCATTTTGGCAGAATCCCTCCGGAGATATTCTAATCTGAGCTGAGCTGACACCCAAACTGCTCTTGCATCACTCAGTCTCAGCATTGCATAGTGGACATTTTCTTTCAGTCTCCCTATGTTGTTTTTCTGGGACCCTTCCATGGCAAGGTATCTTTGCTTATGTTGGAGAACACACGATACAATCGGTTGTAAATAGAGTTCTTAGTTTTTGTAAGTCTCAGTTGCCAGTCAGTCATATCCAAACAGTCTTTAACTGTCATTCCTTGGGCTAAATTGGAATTTTCTTCTTGTAGTTTGGGAACCCCATCATGGAAAGATGGGATCCAAAGATCTAGAATATGTATATTAGATCCTTCTTTCATCTGCCAAATAAATTTGTTCTTCATAAGTTCCATCATGTCCACTATTTTTTGGAATCAGCTGATTTTTTTTAAAAGGAGAAAAGAGGATTTGTTTCTCAAGTATCTTTGTTTGATGGCTTTAAGCCATAGGCTTGAGTCCTCTGTTAGTAATCTCCAAAGCTGTTTGGCAAGTAAAGCCTTGTTGAATTCTCTCATTCTTCTTAAACCTAACCCCCCTTCTTTTTCGGCCTGCATATCCTTTCCCATGCTATTGTGTGCATTGTATTGTGTTTTGAACTCTCTACCCGCCAGAAGTTTCTTTGGATCTTCTCTAATTGGTCTATTGTTTTTTTTTCTTTAATATAGAGACCCCCATAATGTATGTGGGCATTGATTGCATGACAGCTTTGACCATTGTGGTTCTTCCAGCTTGGGATAGTAGTTTAGCCTTCCACATAGATAATCTGGAGCTCATCTTTTTTGTTAATTCTTTACTCTCATTCTCTGTTTCTTTGCCAAAGTGGATATGAATTCCCAAGTATTTGTCATTCATGCCCATGCATTTGACTCCAAGTATACTTGCCAAGAGCTCTCTTTTTCTTCTGTGCACATTTTTATTGAAATGCACCCCCAACTTCTTCAAATTTACCCTCTGTCCTAACATTTGTTCAAATTCATGCAACACCCCATTTATTTTTCTTACCTGTGTCGGATCAGCTTTACAAAGGAGTATACAATCATCTACAAACAACAGGTGAGTTATTAGTGAGTTGTTTCTACCTAGTTTACCCTTCAAGTTATGTTCCTGTTCAGCCTTTTCAATTAAGCTCGATAAGGCTTGCATTCCAATGATGAACAAATACGGGGACAGTGGATCACCCTGTCTTAAACCATTCCTTAAGCTGAAGAATTCCTTGTGGGTCCCATCGATTTTTATAGCAAATTTTGGGGTACTGATGCAGGAATCTATTAATTTACACCACTTTTCTAGAAATCCCATTTCCTCTAAAACTTTCAGAATGAAGTCCCTTCTCATTCTATCATAAGCACTTGACATGTCAACTTTAATGAATAGCTAACCTATTCCTTTCTTTTAATTCTTCATTTTGTTGATGATCTCTTTAGCAAGTATTATGTTGTTAGTACCTTGTTTATCCTTAATGAAGGTTGCTTGGTTGGGAGAGATGATCTCATTAATGTACCTCTGCATCTTCATAACCAAATACTTAGCCACTATCTTGTAGATAACATTGCACACACTGATTGGTCTAAAGTGGGAGGGATTTTCTGAATTGTTTACTTTTGGGATATAGACCAAATTGGTGGAATTTATTTCAAGGGGAAATTCACCGATCCTAAGGAAATTTTGGACTAGGCTTACCACATCAGCTTTTAATGAGGACCAGTATCTTTGAAAGAAGAAAGGGGTGAACCCATCTAGTCCAGGGGCCGAATGTGATCTCATGGATTTCTTCTTCTGTGGGAGGGGAGAGCAAAGTTCCCCATTCTTCAGCTGGCACTTTGTTATGAAAGAGGCCCGATACATTTATGCCTTGTCCATGATGGCAATCCCCAATTTCTTTGGCTCTGGACTTAAACATTTCTACTACCTCCTCTAATTTCATGACTTCCCCACTTTCTTTTTTCAGAAAATCCAGACCATTTCTTTTTTGATTAAAATTGGCCATCTAATGGAAATATTTGGTATTTCGGTCCCTCTCTTTTAACCACATCTCCTTAAATTTCAATTTCCACAATTGTTCCTCTCTTATCATCCATTTAACATATTCCCTTCTTAGCCTTATTAGCTCCTCACTGCCTAGCATGACTATCCCCTTCTTGGATTGCCAAAATTTGTCTTTCTATCAATTTTAGCTTCTCATTTATATTCCCAAATCTTGTTTTATTCCATTTCTTTAGAGCCCATTTGCACTGTTTAAGTTTAGAAGGAAGGTTTCGGTTTCCTGTCTCTGTCTCCCACAAATCTTTTATCAGTTTATTACATTCCTCATCATCAGCTCACATTGGTAGAAAATGGAACTATTTTGGACCAGGTATTAAGGTTGGACTTGTCTCTAGGAGTAGTACAGCATGACCAGAGAAAATGGTAGGATAGGATAAAATTCTTGCCTCTGGAAATGTCTCATGCCACCATTGTGATGCCAAACCTCTGTCTAATGTCTCTTTCACCAGCTTGTTTCCACTTTTATGATTGGACCAAGTAAAATAGGTTCCGACAGTCCTTATTTCTCGAAGTCCATGGTTCTCGATCAGTTGGATTAGGGCTTTGGATGGTTTTCTTTCATTCCAAGAGCAACCCTTGTAATTTGATTCCTCAATTATGTCATTTAAGTCACCTATGAGGATCCATTTATCACTATCTTCCAGTATTGAGCTTAGATTTTCCCAAAAAGAGGTGTGGTGACTCTTTATTGGGTTGCCTTAGACCAGACATAGACCCCAAGCTGGATCTGAGGTTGTATTTCGCACTTGGGCTAAAATCAGTCTTTCGGAGTTGTGAATGATTGTTATAGGGAGACCCGACTTCCAACAACACACCAAACCACCCCCCCTGCCTTTCCTTTATAGGGGATAATTTCACTATGGTTATAGCCTAGTTTTCTTGTTAGTCTGGTTGCCCTAGTCTCATTCAATTTAGTTTCAAATAGGAAAACTAGGTCGGGATTGGTCTTCCTAATGCATTTAGAAGGAAATCTAACCGTTTGAGGGTTACAGTACCCTCGACTATTCCAGATTAAAAATTTCATGGACGACACTATCAACACCCAGTGACAAAAAGTGGAGAGAGTTGTATGATGAGAAATAAAATGACTACGGTTCTGGTGATTTTCGGCATACATGATGGGTTAGAGCAGAGATGGTATTCTGAAGGAGAGGTTGGCTTGGAGGTGGAACAGGTAGCAAGTCCCCAGCTACTTCAATCCAGTTCTGGTCCATTTCTCCACTGTCGTCATCTAGCATTATGGCCATGGTTCCTTTGCTCTAACCGACGATCACAGTCATGTTTGGCCTGGTATTCAACGCTCCACTGATATTTGTAATTCTTGTCATTCCACTTACTTCTTGTTTAGAGCCCTTCCCTAGCAGTAGGCTGAGAGGTATCATCGACTTGTTTCCGTCCTCAGCTAGGCACTTCAAAAACCCATCACTGATAAACAAAATTGCTTTCATATCTGGATCATAAATGGTCTTACATGGTCAGCCCAGTTTCTTTAGACCTAGCTCCGGATCCACAAATCCCATACCCGATTTTGTTATATAACTTTTCCAAGTTCTTATTTTCCAAGTATTTGCGTATGAACCTCTCGAAATCTTTTCTGATGCATGCGGGACAGGTGGCATGTCTTCTAGATCAGCTATCATTTTTCCTTCACCAAATGTACTGCATGTAGCCTTTGCATGTTGCGCATGGCCGCCATGTTCCTGTTGTTGAACGTGTTCACCCTCGAATTGCCTTTTCTTTGACCCATGGGTTAACCCGACCGAGTTGTTCAACCCTTCAGAGTTTGGACAATCTAAGTGCTTCCCATCGACTCTAACTGTCGCCGGTGATCGGTCCAGTAGGCATTGTCTCTTTTCTAAAAGACCCCCATCCTCAAAATCTTCGTCAAATCCATTATCGTTTGAGTTGACAATGGTTAGCATGCAGTTCTGACCTTAACCATTCTCCTGGGTGGTCAATCTCCCAGCTCTCCATCTCCTGTTTTGCCACTTTAAGCGATGTTTCAATCCGTTTACAATGGTGTCATTGGTGACCTAGAAGGCCACAGTAAGCTCACACCTTGGTAAGCAATTCATAAGAAAATTTGATCCATTTTTGTCTACCATCCACGTTAACAAATATGCCTGTGAATAGGGCTTTGCAGATGTTTATGATAATCTGAACTCTTGTGTATAACCATCAGATTAGTTGCCCTTTTCGGATATGTGGTTCATTTGGTACTATTTCTCCAACCATCATCCCAAGGGCTTTGACTCGTGTGCCTTCCACAAGGAATCTTGGGATGAGATGAAGTTGCAACCAAATTCTCTGCTGATGGAGTTTTTCAATTGTTCCAACTTCCGAGTCAGTCCAGGGAGCCACTAGTATCCAACTAGCTTTAAAAAACCATGGTCCTCCATTCAATACCCTTTGACGTTCATTGATATCCTCCATAAATATCTTCATCTGCCCTCCCTCAATAAAATTAATTTTTGCCTCATGGAGAA